CTCAGCTCACTGATAAGCTGGCTCTGCAGTGGAAACTGCCCACCAACTTCACACCCAAGCATGTTTGTCTCAAAGTATCCTGTGAAGTCTGGGGATGGGCAGCCCCGCCTCACCCGTCACAGCGTGGGAGGAGAACAGAAAACAGCCACAAGTAAAAATATCGTGTCTTTGAGAACACATAGAAGGTGAGTTATTTCCAACAGATGTTAATATTATGTATCCCATAATATTGTGCCTTCTGAGAGAAAGAGAAACCGGAAGTTTAGCCACAGGAAGATTAGTCATGGAGAAAATCTCACATGAGAGGTCTAGCTGACGGGCCTCAACTTCCCCAGTGGATTTTTGCTGGACTTTTGTAAAACCCAAAATTGATACTACCTTTCTGCTGTTCGTTCTTTTACTCAGAAGTCTCATCCAGGGGACACTCCACTCTGCCCCAGACTGTCTCTACTGGAAACTGCAGCTGGCTTCCTTGAAGTGGCCTCCCTGGCCAGTTTCTACTGGATGTTTGGTGGGTTGGTTAGGTTTTTTTTGGCTTGGTTTGGTTTGGCTTTGGTTTTTCGAAACAAGGTTTCTTTGTAGCTTTGGAGACTGCCCCGAACTCGCTCTGTAGACCAGTCTGGCCTTGAACTCACAGAGATCCGCCTGCCTCTGCCTCCCGAGTACCCTCATCCTACGCTTCCACTCCTCCCAAAACTGTGAGAGAAACTCTGAGAAAAGGTGGCATTCCCCAGTAATAGACCTCTCTTTCATCGAGGGCATAGAACTACCTCTGCTGTCCTGCCCCGAGCTCACTCACTACATGTGTTAACTACGTGAGAGTTGCAGGTGGACAAACAAAGCAAGTTAAAGAACCGAGTACTTGTGGGTCAACAGAAACAGCACGAGAGTGCTCATCTGTCCCTGTCCCTTTCTCTCCACAGCAGGAGCAAAGAAAGCTGTTGTGGATCCAACTGGACAACAATATGGATCCTTCTTAGGGTCCAAACTTCACTTCTCTGATGCTGTGGTTGCTGGTTGCTAGGCACTTGCCCTGGCTACTGCTTTGGTGATTTTAGTAATGTTCCAAGAATACTGGTTCTTAGCATTTACTCTCTCTTTTTTTTTTTTTTTTTTTTGGTTTTTTCGAGACAGGGTTTCTCTGTATTGTTTTGGAGGCTGTCGGTCCAGCCTGGCCTCGAACTCACAGAGATCCGCCTGCCTCTGCCTCCCGAGTGCTGGGATTAAAGGCGTGCGCCACCACCGCCCGGCAGCATTTACTCTCTTAAATACCATTGGTTTTGTTATCATTTTTTCTCTGTAGCCCGCTCAGGCCTGGAATTCACTAAGTGACCAAAGCTGGTCTTGAACTCTTGGCACTCTGCCTACCTCAGCCTCTTGAGTGCTGGACTTACAGGTTTAAGATGCTGTGCCTGGGAAAGGCATTTTATTCATTATAATGAACACAACATTATAATGACATTATTTTTAATTCAGCCATGTTCTCATAACCTGAACACACCCCCCTCAGATTTAAAAACCATATGTTACTACTCCCCCGGTGTTTCTCACACCCAACTTCCAATTTATGAGGAAATCCTATCAACTTGGCCTCCAACACAAACCTTAAATCTCCCACTGCTACCACCCCAAGACTATTGTAGATGTCTGTTATAACCGGATCACTTTACCTCCAACCTTATCTACTCTCCAGTCAATGGCCAGAGTTAACTTCTTATCACATAAGTAGGACTGTGTTGTGCCTCTCTGTAAAACCCTGCCGTTGCTCCCCATTTACCCACAATCGAGCCAGCCTCCTGGTACTCCTTTACCTCTCCCTGGTAAAGGTCTCCTGCCCAGATACAGCCGTCTCCATGTTGGCAGGTATCATATGCAACCATATTCTGCTTCAGACTCTTTGCAGTGGCTGTACCATCTGTCTGATTCACTCTTGCTCCAAACATCCACCTGTATGACTTCCCCATTTTCCTCAAGTCTTTATTCAGATATCATCTTTGAATTAAAATTCCAACCTTAAAACATAATATATATGCATGTATATGAAATGCCAACCTCCCCACATTCCTTTCCCTGAGCATTTTCATTTTCCTGTAGCATTTATTACAGAACATTCTAACATATGGTAGTACACTAAATACTTTATTCCTGTGTTCTTTTATAGCCCTGGGATATGAACCTTAGGGCAGGTATCTTTGTCTGTACTTCGATCCTTTGGAATAGTGTCTGGCATATCCTGGACACACAGCATGGTAGCACAAGCCTTTAGCTGCAGTTACTCCAGAGTCGGGATTATGACTTGAGCCCACAAGTTCAAGACAGCCTGGGCAATGGAGTGAGACCCCATCACTCCAAAACAAAATTCTAGAACTTCGTCAAGAACTAGAATCAAGCATGCATAATTTACTGCTTTCCCATTTGTGGCTATTTGCCTTCTAAAATCCGTCTTGATCATCTGGTGGCATCTCTCTAGATGGCCTTGAAATCCTAAGACTATGACTAAATCTGCTCTTCCTAAAATGCTGATAAAGGCACTGTCAGTGCCTGGATGGTTCAGGGTGACTGGATGGCTTGGCAAATACAACCTCCTAGGAGAACAAATTCTGAATTGAAGTCATGATAATTTAATAAAAAAAAACCCACAAACACCCCCCTTTCACAGGGTAGAACAATAATTTGAGCATTGTGTCAATAGCTTTACTCCCAGTTTTCTGGGGGAGGTACTTACTATAGCTCAAATGCCCATATATTAAAGCCTTGGTCCCCAGCCTGGAGCACCACTGGCAGGTGGTGGGATCCTTATCAGATGAAGACCAGTGAATGGAAGTGAGATCATCTTGGGTTAGTACCCTTAAAGGGAATACTGGTACCTCATCCTTTCCCCATTGGCTTCCTGCTCACCATGGGATAAGCAGCTTGGGCCCCTGCAATAATGTTCTCACCAAAAGCAACTGAAACAACTGACCAAGGACTGGAACTTCTGAAATTATGAGTCAGAATAAATCTCTCTTCCTTACAAATTGATTCTCAAATATTTCATCACAGTGACAGAACACCGACTAATACAAACACCACTTCAAAGATTATACCTCTGAACTGGTAATAAGAACACTCATGTTTTGTTTGTTTTTTTGAGTCAGGGTCTCACTATGTTGCCGAGGCTAGTCTAGAACTCATGGGCTCAAGCCTTCCTCCCACCTAAGCCTCTCAAATACCTGCAACAATAGGCTAGTGCCACCATAGTGGATAAAACAGATAATCAAATGACAAGAAAAGGAAATGATATTAGAGGTTTCTCTTCTAACAACAGCCAGGCTCTTAATTACCTGTTATCACCTCCTGTCATTCTGCCACTGAAAGAATCCTCTCAGGAGACTAGCCAGGCACAGATGTGTCATGTTGTGGTGGTTTGAATAACAACGGCCCTCCATGTCCTCATATATATGAGTGCTTAGTCACCAGGGAGTAGCAGTATTTGCAAGGATTAAAAGGATTAGGAGGTATGGCCTTGTTGGAGGAAATATGTCTCTAGGATAAGCTTTGAGGTTCAAAAGCCCAGATATCTCTGTCTACAGATCAGTTTAGTTCTCAGCTATTACTCCAATGTCTCCCTCCATGCTGCCATGTTCCCCACCAAGATGGCAAAGGACTAAACCTCTATAACTATAAGCAAGCCAAGTCCCCAGTTAAATGCTTCCTTTTATGAGAGTTGCCTTAGTCATGGTGTCTCTTCACAGCAATAGAACAATGACCAAGACACATGGCCATCTTCCAAGCAAGTTGATGACTTAGATGAAAGTCTACAAAGGAGACTCACTAAGTTATGTTCCCAGTTTTTCATTTTTATTTAAACAGTGACCATAGTGGTCACAAAGAAAGACACTTTTCTAACCCTGGCCCTTCCCTCATGAGCAGACACAAAGTAGAGAAGAATCATATACTTGGGTCAGGATCTACAGCAGCCTCTTCAAACACCTGGGTCAGGAAACCTCTACATCTCCTCTTCTCTCATGTTTTGCTCCAGGAAGTCAAGCTGTGGGTGAGGAGCTGTGCTAGGAACCTCCAGATGGTTCTTTTCCATAAGGGTTTGAATAAGAATGGCCCTAATAGGCTCATATATTTGAAATCTGGGTCCAAAGTTGGTGGAACTGTTTGGGAAGGATTATGAGGTGTGGCCTTGTTGGAGGAGGTGTGTCACTAGGGGTGGGCTTTGAGGTTTCAAAAGTCCACACCATTTCACTTAGCTCTTTCTCTCTGTCTCAGACCTGTGGATCGATCAGATATGAGCTTTCAGCTACTGCTCCAGAACCATGACTGCCTGACTGCAGCCATGATCCCCACCATGGTGGTCATGGGCTCACCATCTGAAATTGTAATCCCGAATAAACACTTTCATCCTAAACAACGGTTCTCAATCTATGTGTCCTGACCCCTATGGGGTCAAAAAACACTTTCACAGGGGTCACATATCAGATATCCTGCATATCAGATATTTACATTATGATTCAAAACAGTAGCAAAATTACAGTTATGAAGTAGCAACAGAAATAATTTTATTATTGGGGGTCACCACACCATGAGGAACGTATTAAAGGGTCACAGCATAGGAAGGTTGAGAACCACTGTTCTATAAATAGCTTTGGTCACAGTGCTTTGTCACAGCAGTAGAAAAGGACCCAAGAGACCTTCCTATGCCACTGAAGAGTCACAGATACAAGTAAGGAGAAGGCAGTGAGGTGGGGGAGTGTTTGGACGAGGACACCGAAGGAGACAGTGAAGGAAGAAGACAAGGTGAGCGACACTTGCCCGGTTGGTTTAGGTTGATGAATGCTGTCTGGCATTTCCTTGAGAACTTCTCACTCGCACACTGCACACGTAGGTCCAGGTGGTTGTGGTCCACTATGCCCATGCTAATTGCCTGACTCAGGATGCCAGTGACTCACTCACTCATCCTTTAAAGAGGCCTCATGTCCAGAGCAGTGTGAGTGCTCAGGGCAGAAGCCATGGCTCCTGGATTCCTCTTCTGGGTCCTGGTCTGCTGGTCGGTGCTAACTATGGCAGAAGGTAAGAGTTTGGGTTTTTACCTACTGTGTGTGGGTTAAATAATTAATGCTATCTGGAAAGACAAATGTGGCTTCCATGATTACATATTTCCATACATTGGAATGTTTATATCTGCTGTCATCAGCTCGTGTGGTTAAATGAGAGGCACAATTTTCTCATCTGAAGACCTGAATCTGAGTCTCAGCATTTGCTCTGTGATTTGAGACACTTGTAACCTCTTTGAGCATTACATGTGAATTTCTCATATGTAAAGCGACAATATCAATATGCATTATTGTGGGGCTAAGGAATACCATCGATTTATATGCAAAAAAACCCTCACATTAAAAGCACTACACAAATGCTATTATTGTTACTATGGTTACCAAGCTAACAATGCCAACCCGGAATTACAGTACTGTCTGTGAGTTCAAGGTCAGCCTAGTCTACATGGCAAGTTGTAGGATGGACAGCTAGGGCTACATAGTGAAACCATGTCACCAAACAAACAAAAATATCATTTGATCTGTGAGATTTGATCTCTGAGTGTGGCAGCCTAGGTTCTAGGTCCTCACTCACAAACATGACCGCCCAACAGAGTCATATATGTCCCATATCCCTGTGCCCTTGTCCTCTGCTCCTCTCCTACCTCACATCTGCTTACTGCAATTCTGCTTCAAGTAGCATCATTTAAATGTGACTATAGTATTTCATTTGCAAGCTTCATTAAGACATTATTGTACACTAACAGATCTCTGACATCTTTGGGTTGTCATAGCAATCTATGCATCATCTGCAGTGTGTGTTCCATCCTATTCTGTATTGTAGCTCAGAATATGTGTAGCCTCTTTCCCATCATCAGAGTCAGGAGCTGTATTTGTCAGCTCTGCCTTTACTTCAGCACCTGACAAGGAACATGCTAACTGATGAACCAGCTTCACTCATAACATATAGAGAGAGACTTTTTCTGTGCTCTAAATTCCGTATCTTTCAAATAAGGGATTTGACAAAAATAGCCAATCATTCTCTGAGTCTACAAAATGAGTAAGTTACAATTATTATGTTGCCCATGGCACTGATATCTCTTTGTGGTTAAAGTCTGAAATGGCGTGGGAATTCTAAGATTCCAGGTGCTCTGTAAGGGAAGGGTGGCATACCTAGACATCAAGCCCCAAGCTTGCCTCTCTAAAAATCACTACAGTTCACTACAGAACAGCTATTGTCTGCCCAGTTAACCACAGAACACAGGTAATTATAAAAAGATCTTCTCATCATTACCTTTTTTTAAGTGCTAGTTTGGGGGTATGTTATAAATTTCATGTCTAGACTATAATAAGCCCATTTAAAATTGATATCCAAACTCAAAACAATATTTTGGCTTTTGTTATACAGTACTACAATTTTAAATATAAATTATTTAAAACATTCTAAAACAGGAATTTAATGCTAACTGAGTACCACAAAAACACTGAAAAAGAACAGCCAATGTCTGCCTAGCCATTTAGTGAATGCACCAAGTATTCACTGATAACACACTGTCATCCAGAAATGTCCCAGGTGCTGAGGATATAAGCAACGGCCAACAGAGTCCGTTGTCTTCATGGAGGTCCTAGACTTACATAACTATGGACTTTAACACTATCCTCCCCTTGATGCACAGCTCGTGTACAAAGTATAAAGAGATCGACCTAAGAACCAGAGTCTGTGCTGCTAAAAACCCTTCTGTAACATCCACAACTGTAACAGTTAACAGTGATGAAACTTACTAAATGTGTACTATGCAATGGGAAACTTTCAGAACCATGAATATCTTTCTTGGATAATCTCACAAGTCCATTGGATAGGCCATATTATTCTTTCCATCTTACAAATAAGGAAAAAGTCTAGGGGTGAGGAAAATCTGCCCACACAGTGTTAGAAGCAAAACTCAGGGATCTTGCCTCTGGAACATCACGCTGCCTGTGTCTCCAACTGTTTTTGATCAACATTCAAATATGTGACCTACCTTGGTCTTATTAAGCTTTCGGGATGCTTAGCTTTGATGTCCAGTGCTTTTGCTGGTATGTCAGTGTATAATGTGTGCAAAATATGTGTTAATTATCATATTATCTCCAATAGGTAGGAACACAGGAATTTTGCAATTATACAAACAGGGATTTGTGTGATATATTATTTAAGATTTATCAAGCTTCAATCTGAAGGTCAGAAAAGCAAAGTAGCAAGTAAGTCAGTAGCACTTACCACTACCTCTGCCTGAACGGGCTGATCCTGCTGCCTCTCCTCAGTGTGGCTGGAGAATGAATGCCTGATACTGACCTTGATCCTGTCTTATATACCTCTCATGAGTCCTGGGATTAAAGGTGTGAGCTCTAATTCTCTTTTAGACAGATTTACTCTGATGTATTCCTGGATGGTCTTGAACTCAGAGAGATCCATCTTCCTTTACCTCCTGGATCCTGGGATTAATGGTGTATGCCACCACCTACTGATCCCTGTAGCTTGTGGCTGACTTTGCTTTCTGAATCCTCAGGCAAGCTTTAGTAAATCATAAATAATATATCACCACACTTAGCCGGGTGTTGGTGACGCACACCTTTAACCCCAGCACTTGGGAGGCAGAGGCAGGCAGATCTCTATAAGTTTGAGGCCAGCCTGGTCTACCGAGCGAGTTCCAGGACAGCCTCCAAAAACAATACAGAGAAACTTTGTCTCAAAAGAAAATTATGTGTGTGTGTGTGTGTGTGTGTGTGTGTGTGTGTGTGTGTGTGTGTTCAGAGATTTCTCTCAGTGGATTTAGTTCTTCCTCGGGCACTGACATAGGACCTGTGGACATCTCAGGAACAACAGCATGACTGATAAATGTGAGGCTGTTGGGCCAAGGCTGCTATGGGAGTTCTAGCCATCACCTAGTCTTCAGGCAGGGAAGCCCTTCCTAAGGAGATCTGACTCAGGGACCAGCTGAAAGGTCTAGGGGAAAGAGGTAGAAAGTGGAACTCTAGGCATCTGGAACCAAATTTTAAGCCTAGGAACACTAAGGCTTTGCTAAAGTAGCATTTGTAGAGTGGAGGACACAGTCACGGTGTAATTGGTCAAATGGTGTACATAGTTTACAGCCCTCTTTAACAAAAGAGTAACCTAAAAAGCTTATGGCTGATCACTCAGTTTTGTCTCTGAAATGTAACATTAAGTAATCTTAGAGAGGTAGAATTCTTCAAATAGTGATTGGAGTTTTGAAGGCAGTTTGAGAACAAAACAAAAATAATGATAACAGAAGTCGACAGAACGAGGTCAAATGAAAGGACAGATGGGCAGGGTCAGCAGAGTCAGAGGAAGAAAGCACAGGTGGCATCAATTCACACGGGAAGTTCTGATTTTGTCACATGACAGATTCACAAACCAACTCCTAGGGTTCTTACACTTTATTTTTATTAAATTTTTATTTTGTGTGTACGGGTGTTGTGCCTGCATGTATGTCTGCATACTACCTATGTGCTTGGTACACAAGAGGACTAGAAGAGGGTATATATCCCCGGAACTGGAGTTATCCATGGCTATCAGCCACCATGTGTGTGCTAGGAATGAAACCTGGGTCCTCTGGATGAGTGGCCACTTCTCTTAACCACTGACCATTGCACCAGCCATGGTCCTTTCATTTTATAACACTTGTGTTTCTAAGTAGTGGCCCAATATAATCACCATGCGATTAGTTTGCTGGGAAAATATCAACACTTATTTATACGGTCTTGTTGACTGCCTTGAGTGGAGGATAGAGTCCATCTGCACCTTGATCTTGGGCCCTTGTGAATTCTCAGAAGAGAACATTAAACTGCTGGACGTCTCAGCCTTTGAGAAAATCTGTCTGTCATGCTCTAGCACCGAATCACGATGGAATTTAATAAGATGATAGGGCACTGACTGCTCTCCAGAGGACCTGGGTTCAATTCCCAGCACCCACACACTGTCTCACTGCCATCTATAATTCCAGAACTTCTAATTCCTCAATGACTAGCTAGTGTGTGAGTATCTATCAACAGCCTAATTAGCTAACCCAGGTGTTCACAATTGACATTTCTAAGGAGTGTGAATAAAAAAAGGAACAAAGGACTCTAGTGACTAGATAAGTACATCCAGTGCAACCAAGAAGTTAAAATCAACTGTCCTAAGGGGGGGGGACCTAGGTGGTTGTTTTTTTTTTAATTCATCAGAACTCTCAGATTCCACCATTCTTCTCGTGTCTAGATTGACACATTTTAAGCCAAAGAACTCTGCACAGCAAAGACCAACTCAGCTGGGTGATTTGAGCATGGGAAGAACTGACACTTAGCTACATCCAACTTTCTTCTTGTCTGCCCTTTTCTGGTTTTTCTTTTTTTGTTGTTATTATTTAATTTTAAATAGCTTGCTTCACATGTCAATCCCAGTTCCCTCTCCTTCCCCTCCTCCCGCACTTCCCACTACACCCCCCAGGCTCCCACCCTATCGCCACTTCTTCCACATAGGAGATATCTAGAGTCTGCCACTTTTCTGATTTTTCAAGACAGGGTTTTTCTGTATAGCAGCTCTGGCTGTCCTGGAACTCATTTTGTAGACCAGGTTGACCTCAAACTCACCTGACTCTGCCTCCTGAGTGCTAGGATTAAAGGCAATCACCACCACCACCTGGCTTATCTTCTTAATAGTAAATACATTATTTTTCTATCTCAGTGAGTTTTCCTTATTTTGTCATAAGTCAGATACAAAAATATATAACCTCAAATCTTAAAAGTACAGCTTCACCACATTTTTATACAGGCGTATGTGTGTATGTGTGTGTGTGTGTGTGTGTTACATATATCCAAATCTACTTAATAACCTCTGAGATCAAGGTGTAGAACATTGCAAACATTAGTTAATGCCTCCATGAAATAACACTTGCGCTGACCCCTCGGCTCAATTCTGGCCTGATTTTTAACTACAGCTTCATTTTGTGTACTCTTGAACTTCATATAAATGGACTCTTACAATGTGTACACTTTTTAGTCTAATTCCCTTTGTGCAACATACATGGATTCATCTGGGTTTCTAGGTGTTAGGTGTTCTTCATTTTCATTCCTGGAGACAGGTTCATCGTGTGAATACACATGGTTTACTCTGCTAGTCTACTGATGGGCATTTGGATTGTTTAGGCTGCTATGAACATGCTTGAACTTGTACTTTCAGATAAATACACATTTACTTCTTTTGGATCAGTTCCCCAGATGGAAATGTGGATCACTAATGTGTCCATGCTTCGTTTCCTTGGACCACTGCAGTTCATTTAGTCATGCTTTAAAATGTTGCCATGTTATTCTTCGATCTCTCTGTCCCACTCTCACTGAGGGATATAACTTCTCTGCTTTTGTTGCCAGGCCTATTTCCTGACCTACATTTTCATTTCCACAGGACAAGATGTAGTCACCCCTCCTGGTGGTTCACAAGACAATGTGACCCCTACAGACTGCCAGATCTTCACGCTCACCCCTCCGCCCCCCACAAGGAAGCCTGCAGTAACAAGGACCCAACCCAACCCAAGGATGTTTCCATGGATGTGGTTGTATCTTATACCAAGAAGACCTGGCCGCTCTCCGAGGCTGCCTAACAGACTTTTGCTCTTTCCAAACTACAACCCCCGCTTCCAGTTCCTTCCTCTCTACCTGCCACAAGGTAGACTTCCTGGGAGATACACATATACTGGAAGCTCATCTGAGGAGAGCATAGAGAAGTGAGAAGCCCAAACACACTGAAGAATCTGAAGAAGACAGTGAAATTGTTTCTCACTCCAGTCTAAAAAATCACTGCTGTAGAAAACTAAGCAACTTCAGCACCATTGACTACATTCTTTTTGTCAACAATGAAGAGATTGGATTACACATTTTTGCTTACAAAATCTGGCAGTAACTGGCTCATTCTTATCCATGGGATATTAATGCAAACAAAATATTTAAATGAGCTGTTCCAATAATTTCTACCCATATGTAGACACCAGCAGCATTAATTAAGCCCCTCTTCCAAATTAGAGTGAAGGCCATTTTAAAGAGACCATGAGCGAAGTGTAGAAATGAATGACACTCTTTTCATACTCATTGGGAAACATAGAGAATAGGTGGACCCACAAGAACATTCAAAGAAATTAGGATGTTTAAAGCAAAAAGCCTTTTAGAGAATGTGCTCTAGGTCATACTTCAGTTGTATGCTGAACTAGCAAACGCAAATTATTTAAACTGCAATATCCTAACTTTAACATTACTCATGTGTATTAATTTGATAAACACGTCATTGTTTCTCCTATAATCATCACAGAGACACAGATAAGATGAAATACTTCCCTTGAAACTTTCAACATGATTCCTTAGTTTTAAGATTACATGGATATCAGTTAACTCCAACTTGACTATGGGGACCTTGGCTCTCAGGCGAATGACAAACACACCCTTGTCTGCTTGATCTCTATAAAGCCCAACCTCTTGCTTGTGTCACTCATCTTGCCTGTGTCATGGGAACTTGGGTTCTGTGCCTGTGGCCAGTGGCTTGCGTGTTCTCAAGAACTATGTGCAAATGATGCTGCCACCTGCTGCTAACACAAATGCATGAGAACTCTAGAAGTGGATACCCAGGACAAGAAGACAGGATTGTCATGGCAGCATCCTTCCTCCCTGTGTCAAATGATGAAAGGAAGAATGGAGCCACCATAGCAACTGGTGTAAGAACAGATATTTCCTTCAAATTCATAGGCTTAAGTTAAAGCCCATTTGAATCCAACTCAAGAAACTATATTTTGAAATAAACTTTACATGTTCCCTTTACATGTGTAGGGAAAAGAAAAGCAAACCAGAAAAAGACCACCCTTGGGTAAACATGAAGAAAGGTGAAGATTTGGATTTTAATTCTGTTTCTCTTCCTGATCCTTCATAGATGTACTTGGCATGCTCACAGTACACCCACTGACTCAAGCCAACCTGGGGTTTTGGGGGGACTTGGGGTTGTTTGTTTGTTTGTTTGTTTGTTTGAGACAGAGTCTCTCTGTGTAACAGCCCTGGCTGTCCTGTAACTCAATCTGTAGACCAGGCAGGCTGACCTTGAGATCAGTCTGCCTCTGCCTCCTGAGTACTGGTATTAAAGGTGTTCGTCACTGCCATCCTGCCCTGACTGGGGCTTTATTTCTCCAAACATTAGAAGTTTTGCAATAAATAATCAACTGTTAGGAAGAAAACTGGGGGTGGGGATGGGACTGAAGAGATGGCTGGCTGCTTTTACAGAGGACTAGGGTTCGATTCCCAGCACCTTCATGATGACTAACAACTGTCTGTGGCCAGTCCCTTGGGGTATGATGCCCTCTTCTGGCTTCTGTGGGCACTGGGCATGAACATGGCACACATACATACATGCAGGCAAAACACCCATCCACATAAATTTAAAAATGATAAATAATCTTTAAAACTCTGAGTCCAATCCTCCTTGTAAAAGCCCTCTTTGTAAAAGTCAAGAAATAAATCTGTGGGTGGGAGGGTGGCTCAGTAGCAGAATATCCCCAAGGAATCAGGACCCCTCAAGTGTCAGTGCTCAAGACAGGGGTTCATTATATGTCCTACATAGAATCAACAGTTTAACTTTGGAAATGTCTTTCACAATTTCCTTCTCTGCTCGGGACATGGAGTGTGTAATGGTACTACCATGAAACACAGAGGTCTGTTCTCACCCTGCTTTAGAGCTCCCCCAGTCTCTATATGACCAGCACTTGCCTCCTTTCCCATCCTTCCTGACTCAGTTTTCTTTAGTGACTTTTTTGTTTTGAGAAGTGGACTGAGGACTTACATTTTTAGACATAAAATAGAAGCCAATTTCCTCTAAAAAAAAATGTGCTGTGGGGGCTGGAGAGATGGCTGTCTTCCAGAGGTGCTAAGTTCAATTCCCAGCAACCACATGGTAGCTCCCAATCACCTGTAATGAGATCTGGTGCCCTCTTCTGGACTGCAGGCATACATGCAGATAGAACACTGCATACATAATAAATAGATAAAGTCTTTAAAAAATTTTTTTGCTGTGCATTTTTTTAAATTGAGAATTTTCCAGTGGATTGATGGCAGCTGTATTTGCTAACTACCATCAGGATTGGGTCTACATTAGGCAAATTAACAGAATCAAGGGAGAAAGCTAAGGCCAGTGTGGATTCTCTTTCCAGTTTCCAGTCACTCTGAGGACTGACTTATACTCTACCACTGCCTTACACATCATGCTTGAAAACCATGTTTCCAGTCAGTCCTGAAGATGTTCAAAGCCGTGGCAGACTGTTGCTCTCAAAGTAGCCTTCTCAGCATTCCTGTCACTCTGCCTTTAGTCATGTCCCCAGTTTCGTTTTGGGAAGCAAATCTACACTGGTGACTCTGTCAACTCTTTGTCTTGTACTCAGAGCTCTTGATGACACCCATGTAAGCAGTATTTCTTTTGGGCCACCAACCCACTCACAAATCATGATAGAAAGACTTATTGTTAGTTATGAATTCTTGGCTTTGGCTTAGGCTCCTTTCTTACTGTTACTTAATTTAGCCTGTTTCTCTTCATCTGTGTTTTGCCTCGGGGCTTTTTACCTTTCTTTCATTCTATACGTCCTACTCTGTGTCTGGCTGGTTGGCAGCTGCCTGGACCCAAACATCTCCTTTGTTCTCTTTCTTTTTTGAGCCTAGATTCTTTTTTCTACTTAATCTCTCTTCTCACCAGCCCCATCTATCCCTCTACTGCCTAGCTATTGGCAGTTCAGCTTTTACTTAGACCAATCAGGGCCTTGGACAGGCAAAGCAACACATCTTTACATTATTAAACAAATGCGGCATAAGCAAATGTAACACATCTTTGCCTAGTTAAAGTAATATTCCACATGTCCACAGCTCTTTATCATCACGTCGACTTTCCCAAGCAGCCACTGTTCTACCTTGCTGACCTAGGGGTCCCCATCTACCTAATGGCATCCAGGGAGCCCTGATAATCACAGAAGCCATGAAGAGATCATGACTACTCAGCCTTTTATGTCCCCAATGTGTTTCATAAACACATTAGAGCTTGGATAAATAGCGTGCTCGCACGATGCTAGTTGAACCACTGCACTAGCAGTGGTACCTTCTGATGCTCATTACAATGTTCCCAGGCCATCCCTATGTCTCAGGAGACTGCCTACACCTTACCACACTGTGCTTTAGCAAGAACAAACGCAAACGCAGAAGAGAGTGCAGTAGAGACGGCTCAGTGAGCTAGGTTCCCAGCACCTCTAACTCCAGCTGCAGAGGACCTGATGCCTCTCACATCCATGGGCATCTCCACACATGTGCACATACCCACACAGAGACTCATGCGCATACACACACACACATGATTAAATCTAAAATAATAGGAGATGACTTTTTTGGATGCATGGACAAAAGGGAACAGATACTACTTCCCATATAAAATTCATTACAGATATTGTTCTTCCCCTAGGGATAGATATAGCTGATGGTGAGTAGGGCTTTACCGCTGCCTCCTGAAATAAGTCCAGCTCCCCACAGGGATAAATGCAGCAGCAATTAAGTCCTTAAGTATTTCCTGACTAGTCAAGCAGCACTGACCCATCCCTCCAGTTGAGAGAAGGGCTTATTTCTCATCATCATATTTGCTGCCCAGGACCCAATAGAGGGATTTGGCTCTGTCCCCTTTTCTTTCTTCTGACTAGGTTGCATCTCTCAATATTAATTTTTGTCCCACAACATATTTTAATGTATTCATATTATGTAGAGATAGATATTACCTGAATTTGACATTTTCCTTTATTGGGGGGAGGGTAGGAAAAACATGTACACAGAAAAATACCCAATATTCATATTCAAGATCTGCTTTGATCTTTTCTTTTACAAGGTCTTTCATATATTTAATTCATAACGGTTCAAATAGCCAATAAATATATAGAAAAAAATTTTTTTGAACTGTTGAAGCTGGACCATAACAGTAGAAGGATTTGTCTACCCTCCTTGGTTAACTATCTAGGTAAATTGGGATTACTACTTAGATTATTTGTAGATGCCCAATAAAAAGGACATATCCATTAAATATTTCCCAAAAACTTCTGAAAATCACTCAAAGATTGTAAACTATACTGTGTCCAAATAACTTTTGAAAATTATTTGAAGTCTGTGAGCAGTCTTTCCCAATCTAACCTGTAGAGCTCTCACTAGCTGACAAGGCCTCATTTGCATCTTAAATTTTTCTGTTAAAACATTAACAGACTGGCTGGATGTTCCTTTTGTCTATATTTAAAGCAATCTAGGTAGCTTCTTAACTATTTTTGAAGGGATTTAAGTATCCTTTTAATCATATAAGCAGTTCACACTCACGCATTTACAATCACATTTCATACATACCAGTGTGGCCACACCATACATTCAGAACATACATGTATCTTTCAGTCATCCTTTTTCCCTAGGTCATGATTAGTCTGTTGCAATGAAGCTTCCTTAATTGAAATCTATGTAAAAGAACAACTCCAGCCAATCCTTGAACTAAAAGGGTTAAAAAGTCCTGTATGTTCTTTATCATTCCTCCATTTGAGCTACAGTCATGGGGTATAGATGTACCTACTCCTTGTAATTCTGTAGATGCAAGGTGGAGAGGCCAGGCTTTTGGCCAAAAATTTTTAGAGATGACTCACAAAATAGAACTTAAATGTAAACAAAATTTTCCATTCCATATACCTTTGTCTTTT